GCCCCGCCCCCCCCCCCCGCCCCCCCCCGGTGCTGCCTCTGATATAGGGTCAGGAGTTTGGGGGGGAGGGGAGGCAGCTCCGTGGGAGCCAGTATATGCGGGGAGCTGGCTTAAAAGCTGACTCCTTGCACACACCAGCTCCCACCAGCCCTCCATGCTGCGGCCTCTGTATCAGAGGCAGCAGCATTCGAGTGGTGGGCGGTGTATGTAACGGTGCATGTTAACCTATGAGCCCAACCTCATTGCTTTAACATCCCTATTCTTTACGCAGCAATGTTGTTCAGGAGGAATCACTTCTCTACAGGGCTAATATTACTCATAGTACTAGTCTCCATGCTCATTCATTTTTTGACCTCTCTGTTGAGACTACCAGTTCAGACAAGTTGTGAATACCGCAGACAAAGAGAGCCATGGATTGGCTGTGTCCCTGGGCTAATCTGATTTGTCACAGGTGCTCAATTCTATTAGAATGTGCTGTTAAGAGTAGGAATCACTTCTCTACAGGGCTAATATTACTCATAGTACTAGTCTCCATGCTCATTCATTTTTTGACCTCTCTGTTGAGACTACCAGTTCAGACAAGTTGTGAATACCGCAGACAAAGAGAGCCATGGATTGGCTGTGTCCCTGGGCTAATCTGATTTGTCACAGGTGCTCAATTCTATTAGAATGTGCTGTTAAGAGTACATGGAGGAGCAGCAACAGTATGCACCTGGAGCAGCATACTGAGCTGTAACTCCTCAGGCCTTGTTTAGATGTGTCAAGCTACTGAAGTCAGGCAGTAAATCAGCAGTGCTGCTCAACTCACCCCATGAAAATGAATGAGTTAGTCAACCTTCTATTGAGAGCATCATTCTGCTACCAGGTTGGGCTGACAGTACAGAGATAAAGTCCTACCCCACTGTCCCATCATCTCTGAACCCGGCCTCAAGATGGAGATGAGAGCAAGAGCAGAGGGAGTCCTGCTGCTTCCTGTCAGATTGGGAAAGACGAGAAAATAGGGAAGCTTTTATTCAGACTGAAGATTTCCTACCCTGAGGCATTACTGGTGAATTCTGCAGAACTCTGAGCTACCACTGACTTATTGCTCTAATTCAGAGCAAATGAACAGAATGTGACAATAGCTTTTGCCGTATTAAGGGACACAACTGGAATGTTTCCCAGGGCCTTTCAGGTTTGCTTCAATTATTCTTTGTTCCATTATAGTTGCTAATCACGATAACAAGCTTTTTTGTGTTTATGTATGTTTAACTGAGACGATGCACATGTGACACGGACACTTGCCAAATTAATTTCACATAGGCTGCTGAACAGCCACAAAGTGAATATTTCATATTTTTATCTAAAAGATAATAAAATCATGTTTTAGGGACTGTTCTTACCTGCATATATGTAACTCCCCTGGACTGGAACACAAGATAAAATATATAACAACGATAGCATAGATTTTTGTATTTGCTAAAAGTCTCTATTTTGCAGGTTTAGAGTCTCCAATCAAAACAGTCTTCTTAGTTTGTGAGGTGTCTAGTACACTGATATGATTCTTCACTTTTTAACACAATAAATACATCTCAAAGGGTACGTCTAGACTACAGGGTTTTGTCGACAGAAGTTTTGTCGACAGATACTGTTGACAAAGCTTCTGTCGACAAAGAGCATCTAGACTACATTCAGTTCTGTCGACAAAGCAAGCTGCTTTGTCGACAAAACCCTGTAGTCTAGACACAATCCTACATGCAGTAACACCTTCTGTCGACAGAACTCTGTCGACTGAAGGCGTTATGCCTCGTAAAATGAGGTTTACCAGCGTCGACAAAACTGCTGAGTTCTGTCGACGTTATGTCGACAGAACTCAGCGGTAGTGTAGACGCAGGTATAGTTTTGTCGACAAAAGTCCACTTTTGTCGACAAAACTCTGTAGTCTAGACACACCCAAAGTTTGACCCCACACAAATGAAAGAGAGCAACTTTAACTCTTAAAGAAAACTTGGAATATGAATACACAATTGGTCAATTACCATAAGAAAGCTTTTAAAAAATGCCATTGCCTATCCATATCTTTATCTGAAAGTTATTTTAATAAAAACAATTTTTCACAGTGGAGCCATAATCCCATTTATGGTTTTTAAAGCAGCACAACAGTGGTTTAGTCCTTTTCACCGTGTCTGGTTTGTTTGATTGATTTTAAAAATCAGCTTTTAGCTCCAAAATCTATTAAGCAAATTAGAGATAAATTTTATTTCAATTACTGTCTAAAGACTGATATTTATTCCACTCTTACCTTATGAAACTTGCTTGAAAGAACACCTGTAAGATAGCAACAGTTGGATTGTGCTTACTTCAGTTTTCCAGAAAATTTTTGTCCATAAAGAACTGCAAATGGCTGGGATTCCTTACCTCCTGTGCCAATCTCATCTCTTGAAAGACGGAATTTATTTTCTGGAAGATGGACATCATGTTCCAAATTGCTGGTATGTATATTCTATAACAATATATCAACTTCAGTAAGTGCAAAAACACAGAAACTAAAAATATATGGTAACTACAACAATTTAAATATAGGTTTAATAATTTTATGAGATGGAGTGAGGAAGTGGCAAATGGAGAGAGATGTTAACAGGAATAGCTGTAGGAGAGAGAAATTAAATTAAGTTAAAGTACATTATTGCCACCTGGCCTGCTGGGTGACCTTGGATAAGTCACTCCTGCCCATCTGTGTCTCAGTTTCCTCATCTATAAAATGGGATAATATTGACTTCTGTTATAAAGTGCTGTGAGATCTACTAATTAAAAGTGACATATAATTGTTAGGCGTTATTATTACTTGTACCAGACTAAGAAACACACAAAAGATAATACTGTGCATTCAAATAGCACCTTGAATCTCAAAGCAATTTACAGATCACAGTCCTGATCCTGCAGGGAGCTTTATGTGGGCACATTCCCCCCCGCCCTTTGCAAAGTCCCATTAATTTGACTGGGCTCCGGAGGGAAGAGAGGGTCTGCGCGTACAGGATGCACCATAGGAATGTGAAACGGGCTCGCTGGCAGTGACTGAAGAGCACTGAAAGGGGCGTGCAAGCAGGACACTGGCACCAGAGCGCGCGGATCCGCAGCTCCCGGGCACGGGGCGACTGCCCTGACCCACGTTTGGCGCCCTGGAGGGCAGGGCGTTCCGGTGTCGTTGCAGACACCAACCAGCGGGCGCGGGGCGGGGGGTCCTGTACCTGGCGGGAGTCGGAGCCGCTGGCGAGCGGGAGGCTGG